GCCATTGCAAATGCGAGGAGCTACGGAATAGTGAACTGGAAGATAATTTCAGATCGGAGGGACCAAGAAAAACTCGCGTACAAATAGAGGCGGTTGGGCCTGCTATTCCCGTGCTTCCTGAAGATTCACAGGCGGTGAAAATCGGTAAATTGTTACCGTTCCTAACCCTGATTTTTTGTGCGTATGGAAGAGCCCAATTCTATTCCATCTATTTCATTTAGTAAGTAAAACGACATTAGGCAGATGATGTCTCATTCTCCGTAAAATGAGTGCAAATTCATATGGTTTCAAACAACCATGTCATTGCAGGGATAAAGTACCGGATAAGAGTACTGCATAAGGTACTGCATAAGAGCGAAGTGGAAGACGAATCTGAAACGAAGGGAACAACAGAAGAACGTTCGCCGATGCGGCCTCGGATTGATCACTCTGCAGATCCTCCGCCTGACAAAATTCTATTACCGTCGGACGAAGAAAGGTGAGTTGGATTAAATATACCGTTTTCAATCCTACAAGACTTTTTCAATGATGACTGAATAAATCACGTCCGTCGAGTCTGAGCCAACACAGCACGCCTTTCCACCAGCTAATTCACCAAGTTTTTTTCCATCTCGTGACTGGGCATTTGGCTTATGGACTTTCAGCCTATGGATGTTTGGCTCAGTGGAGGCTTAGCCAGTTGGAAATTTAGCCCATTGAACATTTGCCCTAATAGACGTTCGAACAAGTTTTTTGTGGAGGTTATGTAGGCATCAGAGTTTTTTGGAGGCCTCTGAGAGCTCCCAATAATATCAATCAAGTCGACCGCATTTTCGGAGTCTTCGACTGCAAATTTCTTCTTCGACTACCCCGTCCTCGGTTTTTCCTGAAATGTCAGGGATCACTGTTCTTCGAAGTTTTTTTGAGGGCCTTCCTCCAAGATTCCAGAAAAATTGATAAAATCGGATTAGAGCGGCAAAAACGAGAACTTGAAGCTTCTGTGAAGCTCAGAAACGTGAGAGAGTTCCTTCGATGGTGTTCACAAATGAACCAATTCATATCATAATGCTCAAACAATTGAAAACCAGGGATTTTGTGGAAAATCTGAACTTTAGGGATGTACTTTTCAAAAGCGCCGAATTGAGTGGACGCGAGAATCCCTGAAAAGGATTCGAGATACTCGGAGAACTAGCGAATGATTAGGGCTGATACTCCTGAGTGTGATCTCAGAGTCCTCCAACTCAATTCCAGTCGTTCCATTACCTCCATATGCGTCAGGCAAAACGTCCATAAGCCAAATGTCCATAAGCCAAACGTCCTTAAGTCAAATGACCTGGCTTCATAATATGTATATTACTGTTCAGTGATAAGCTGACCACATTTCAGAGACAAGGATTTATACCATCGTGTGGGGCCAGTGACTAGACAGTTTCTTGGCAGACCATGGCATAGGTGTTCAGATCACAATAGGTGAGTGTTGGGTTCATTAGGTTTGTGTTCTCCTGATCTCAATTACAGCAGTACTGTCATTGCGTTTACGGACACACATCACTGTGACGATGTAGCGTGTTGATAGAATGGATGATATACTGTCTTAAGCAAAAATAACCTTTTGTTCTAGCAATTGAGTCACACATATCTGTACAATGATCATTTGATCCGATTGCAGTGGTGAATCAAAAAGCGTTGATGGTCCAACGTCGTCAACGATGGAAACTGCTGAAGATAAGTCTAGTGACAGGTGAGTGTTTGATTTATTTCACTATGTTCGTGTTCTCCTGTACAGTAGTGTTGTCATTATTTGTTCGTTTACGAACACATGTGACGTAGTAGCGTGTAACACCTACGCTTACGTGTACCCGAATACAACTTGCTTGTGCTCTCCTAGATGTATTAATTCCCATTTTCTATAGCCGCGAAATCAAAAACAAATGCAAAGAGTATGCTGAAGAATATGCTTAATTCTTTGTTTAAGTTGACCGATTAATTGAGATCACAAAATGCAACATCTATTCGCCATATTGTCTGTTCAACGTGATTCTACCTATTTGCTGGGGAAAACTCTTCTGTACTATTTCATTCATGATTCATGTTTTTGAAGAATTTTTATTGAGCAACACAAAAATTCTGAAGGGAGGCGGGGGGAGGGAAGTTCGGTATCCATTCACAGAGGTCAAGGCAATTTTTTGATTCTGAATTTCCCTGTGGAGGAAAGAAAGAGTGCTGAAAATTAGTATTGAGTCATTTTGGTGAGTCAAAATTAGTATTGAAATTGAGTTGAGTCAAAATTAGTATTGAGTCCGTGTCGACGGACTCAAACCAGAACTGAGGAATGATCATTTTGGTCCAATGCCTCGGAGCACCGTAACCTCGGAATGGAGGTAGCGGACACAAGGAATGAGTACATCATTGCGATCAGGAACTCCATGATTCCACTCCTTCATGCCATTGTAGGTGCGAAGAGCTTCAGAACAACAGAATGAAAAACAATTCCGAAAGGAACAGATCAAACGAAGTTAGGATACCAATGGCGTTGGATGAGGAACAACATCTTGCAGATGAGTCTGCTACTCTTCTGCTTGATAAAGGCTCACCGGCGTCAGCAGTCGCAGTGAGAATTGGGTAAATCATCACCGTTCTTAACGCTGATTTTTTGTGCTTATAGAAGAGTACAATTTCATTCTTTCTATTTCATTTAGTTAATAAATTGATATTAGGCAGATGTTTCATTCTCCGTAAGATGAGTGAGAATTTACGTGAGACTGGGGATTTTGAACAACCATGGAACAAACAAACAACAGGAGAATGCGATTTGATATAAACCTGTTGCGATTGCCCGACATTTCCATTACCTGACAATAGCAGACATGAATCCTCGGCTTACACCGATAGAAGATTTTATTCGATGCATTTGACAGTAATCCGATTTCACTGATCAGTAGTAGATATGCAATCATCGTTTTTACGGATTGAGCCGNAATGGAGGTAGCGGACACAAGGAATGAGTACATCATTGCGATCAGGAACTCCATGATTCCACTCCTTCATGCCATTGTAGGTGCGAAGAGCTTCAGAACAACAGAATGAAAAACAAT